AATCAGCAATAAAAGAATGCGTGGCACCAGAATAAAAAAAAACACTAAGCATTTCATCACGAATAGAAATCATACCTCGCACCAAACTAGCTGACCTCTCAACCTCTTGCTGAGTCACTGCATATACTCGGGCAACTGGAGGTGGGAGAGGTAGAGATGGTTCATCAACCACAATAGAAGCCGGAGTAGCCTGGATAGTAGAAACTTGTCCCCCATTAAAAGGACAGTCCCTAATAAAATGCCCAGGTTGGCCACACTTATAACACAGTCTTTGTTCTCTCCTGCAAACCCCAGAATGGGCTTTTCCACATATAGAGCATTGATGAGCAGATTTAAAATTTCCAGGCTTAGAATTTCCCGCCTTTTTGAACTTACCATCAGACTGTCTAACCTGCAACCCTTTTCCTTTAGAATTCCCAGAAGTGTTTTTAGGACCAGAATTAGGAGTAGATTAGTCCTTATGCTTCCTTCTATAGTACTCTTGAATGTTTTTACACTTTTTGACGAGTGCAGCAAAAGTATCAAAAGTGTGTCCTGCAAGTTTTTCAGAAATATTATCATGTAGTCCCCTATGAAATTTAAACAACAGATCATCCTCAGTAGGTGGAGCTCTCTGGAAATGAGAATATTTAGCCAGCTTATTAAACTTATTCAGATATTCATCAATAGACATATGGCCCTGCTTTAGTTCTTCAAATTCACCCTTCTTCCTTATCCGAGCTTCAGCCGGAAAGTATTTTAGCAAGAATTGCCTTTCAAATAAAGGCCAGGTAATAGCATGACCCTGACATTCCAAGGGCTGACGGGTATTTCTCCACCAATCGGCTGCATCATTCTGCAGCATATAAGAAGCATACAGCAATCTCTACTAATCATCACACTCCATGACAGTAAAAATGCGATCCAACTCCTCTAACCACTGAATTGTGGCAATCGGATCAATGCCTCCTTTGTAATTTGGTGGTGCATGTTTTCGGAAGGCATTAAGCATTCTTTCTCTTTGCTCTCTATTAGTGGCTGGCTGCGCCACACCACCCTTGTGACTAAATTCTTCATTCATATCATTATTTCCTTCACCCTCCACAACAATGGGATTATGAGGAGGAGGAACAAGCTGTTGTGGTTGTGGCTCAGGCTGTGGTTGTGGCTGTGGCTGTTGCAAAGGTTGTGGTTGTGGACCTTGCCCACCAGCCCTCACCTCAACCAAGAGTAATCTCATCATTTCAATATTCGGCATTCTGCTTGCTTCCATCATTTCTTGATTGGCCAACCTATTAGCCTCTAACAGGTCTTGATTTGCTTTCATCATCACTTCCAGCTCTCGCTGCCTAGCTGCAGCCATATTTTGTTGCATCTCAGTTAAGGCCGTTATCATTGGATCTGGCTGTGAAGTATTTCCCCGCTGATTTACTCAGGGTCTAGCCAAATCTGCTAATATTAGATCGGTCGGGTAAATAAGAGGATCAGAAGTCCTTCTTGGGCGAACCATAATTCTGCATATTTCACACAAAGGAATGAGTTAGCTACGCTCACACTCGGTGATCAAACATGCATATCATAGTACTCCAAGAAAACTGAAGAATATAACAACCCGAACAGTTCATGCAATATTTCACAGGCTCTCCTAGAGAAACTGCTCTGATACCATAAATGTAACATCCTCGTCTCGAGCCGGTTCAATTAACATGCATATGATATAAACAGAAACAGCGGAAGACTTAACTTACGAAAATACGAACTAAATTTTTCTTTTTCTTTTTATTTCTCATTCGACGTAAACGAAAATCGGACAGAGTTTCCTCTATAAATCGGACAACTGGGGATTTTCCAATCCCACTCAGAAGCATTTCCTGATAAACTGTTTATACAGCACATCAATCCAGAAGTACCAGTCATGCAAATATAATCAGATACCCATCCATGGGCGCATGCATAACTTGGCTCAGTGCCGCTAATCTAACAGCATGCAATCCAATACATAAACATAACTGAATACTACATCATCATATAACGTGCCTGAATACTCAAATGTACATGCATCAAACTGACAGACATGTACAAAACATATACAAGCCACATACAAAATAAAGGATCTAACATCATGATCCACAAAATACTGAAATACTAAATGAAAGCACTATACTCCAAAATAGAAGTAGCCTACAGCTATTCTAAATCCAATACGTCCAAAATCCTCAGCCACGGGTAGTGTCCCTGACTCGAGAGGTCTCACCGGGGATCTGGGCACCTGAAAATATGGCCCCAACGAGGGGTGAGATTACAAATCTCAATAAGCTCCAGGTTTATAGAGAATTCTCCATACCCCTGGCTCACTCCTGCATGAAAGTCAGATACAGAGTATACAAATACAACATATAACAGATATCATAACAGAACAGAGCATGTATCCATAACATATCAGAGATGTGCGCCGTCATTCCCAAGGGAGGACCCCAAGTGGAAATCAACGCACGTGTTCCCGAGGGAGGACCCCAAAGCGGAACCAGACATATCAGAGGCGTACACCATTAGTCCTGAGGGAGGACCCCAAAGCGGACATCAGGGTACTATACAATCAATGGCCAGAGATTTTTACAGAAATCATATTACAGAAGTCATATCAGAGCAAAACATATCATGTTATCAAATAACTCTATATGAATGCATCTATACAAAGCATCTAAATAACAGTCATACAGTCCAACCATAGTTCACTAACCATGGTGGAGCACTCAAGCAAGAAAAGACTCCTTAAACATAGAGCTTACCTCTTGAAGCTTTATTAATCCGCTTACTTGTGACACAAGTTACTTTTATATCTTCAAGAGATTTTGATCCTTTTCAGTCCCTAGGTACACCTAGAGCAAGAATCCACAAATACAAATTAATAAAATGCCATCATGCCTAGCTTTCACATAAGGCATACATTTTATCGCTTCTTTTCGTTTCTTTATGTTTTTGCCAATGCTATGCCAATACACAAGTCTAGACCACCTTATACTCGTTAGGATTTCCTTAATTTAATCAAGTGTTCACTTGAGAATTTTCAACATAATTCATGCCATTTTCTCTAAAAGGCCGTGAACCTACCTTTAGGAACTCAATGTATTTTTCAACCCTTATTCAAGCCATTTCATTTCTTAACTCATCAATTTTATACAATACATTACAACACATTTTATTAAAATAAAATGTAATAAAATATATTCCCAAGCCACCCTATAGGTCGAACTCTACAAGGACAATAAGCAAAAGGGTTCTTTTCTTTTTAATTATTATTTCTTCCCTTAATTAGCAACTACACATACATAAATATATATGTTCATCAAGTCTCAATTAATTTTGTCATGACAAGCTCCTCTAAAGCCCCCAAGGCCGAAGCAAAAGGGCAAGTATTTATAGGATTTTTCCTTTTAGGCCTTCTTCCTAATTTCATACTTAATCCAACACAATAAACCCTCTTAATACATCAACTAAAATTTGCACAATGGACCCTATTAAGGCAGAAACATAGAGAGAAAGGTATATGATTTTTCTCTAATTTTTTTTATATACATACAAATGCTCATTTTCATTTCCTAAATCCAAAACAACCAAGATTCATCATCTAATCAAAGTTTAAACTAATTTATTTCTCACTCAAAAGATGCTCATAAATTTCAAGACATAAATCACAAAATAAAAGCATAGGATTAGAGGTTTATTACCTCCAAAAGCTTATACAAGGTCAAGGAGGTAACCTCCAAGCAAGTCTACACCAAAAAACTCCTTTTTTCCACCTTGGATGAATAGTGCACGAAATTGGGGTGATGGATATCTCCCTCCACAAACGAAATCAGCTCAAATGGAGGGGTGGAATGGCTTCCTTGGGTGATTTCCTATGGAATTGGTATAATGGGTCAATGATTTAGTGTAGGATTCATGGAGAAATCAAGAAATGAAACAAAGCAAACCCTATCCCTTCCCATGGCTGATCCTCGGGTAGAAGAGAGCAGTTTTTTTAATGTGAATAGTGATTTTTGTAAGTCACTTATGTTTTATAAATACTTGTGGCTTTACCGGATGTTTTTCTATCGCGTATTTTTACTTGAATTGACCCGGAACCAACTTAAAGCTACTGACATATTTTTATTTTTCTAAAATCATTTACATTCCTTTTTAATTCTTACAAAACAATATTCATAATTCACAGTATGGTTTTTGCTTTTTTGACGAAATGCATTGTGAATCACTAATTGTACTTCATTTACTTATGAAACTTAAAACTTATAAACTTATCATTTTCTTGGGCCTATATTGACTTGCTTGGCATATATTGGACTTTCTTATTCTTATTTCATCAATTATTTGTTTCTGAGCTCTACCGGTTGCTTAAACAGCAGTACAAAATGCCCGGTAGAAACACTATTCACGAGATTTTCACGGAAAGTGTCAGACTATACAATTTTTCGTTCTGAACTCATATTTGTCGTCAGAATTATCAAATTATGTCTCTAAAATCATTTTGTTCATTTAAGCTCTACCGGTTAATTCACAAACTGTAAATTCTCCGGCAGAACGCACTCTTCATAACATAGTCATGATTACAGTCAAAATACTCAGAATCATTCTCTGAATCTAATTATGGAATTTAAATCCGTAAATTAAATCTCTAATTAAGATTTACCATTTAAGGTCATTATATTGGGTGAAAGTCTTTTTATTAGTTTATATTATATTCTAACACGCATCCTCATAAGAGAACCCATTGGACTTGAAAAGGTTTATGATCCATCAAGCCCAGCCATCTGTGCTAAGAAATTTCACACAAAAAATAGGAGGCGACGATGATCGAATCTGGAACACCAAGACTTTGATACCATGTAAAGAATCAATTCAATGCAACAATTTAAACTTTTGGACTAAATTGGTTCTTTCCATCCTTAATTAAATAGTACAAATAAAAAAAGTATGCTCAAGAGATAGTATAAGAGAGTGCGTTTTATTTGTTGTCTTTCATAACCATACATAGCGCATACATGACAATACGGTCCTACATAGGCGTAGTATGCGACTTTGCATTAAGCGAGTATTTAAGACTTCAGTAAATATCATTTTCGATCTTCAGCAAATTTTACGATATCCGCTTTAGTCCTTAGCAAATAAAAAGGCTATTCGTGGTCCCTAAGAAATTCAAAATGGATCCATTTTAGTCCTTTTGAGGAACTAATGTGAGTCTTTTTAATTTGTGAGGAACCACGATTTCAATTAAATGGATTTATTTTGAATTTCTTAAGAACTGCGAATAGCCTTTTTATTTGATAAGGATTAAAACGGGCATCGTGAAATTTGTTGAGGACCAAAAAAAGATATTTACACTTAATACTTTTACTACCGCCGCTATTTTATTCCATAATGTGTAACATTTCAGAGAAATTAATTGCTAATTTTCTCTGGAATAATTCTGACGGGTTCAGCCTTTGCTAAAGCTAGCCCAAAGTTGTCGTCCATGTTCATATCCTCTATTGACATACCATCTTCAAGTCTCCAATTAAAACAGTTGAGTATTGAACCCAACATCAAATACAACATCCTCATGGCAAACAGCAAGCCAGGACAAACTCGACGCCCAGAACCAAATGGTGTTAGCTCATAATTGCGACCTTTGACATCAATTTCAGAGCTTAAGAACCTTTCTGGTGAAAACACATTTGCATCTTTCCAACTACTTGAATTTCTTCCAATAGCCCACACATTAACTAGCACCCTTGCACCTTTTGGGATTGTGTAGCCACAAATTTCCACATTTTCATCGGCTTTCCGTGGGATTAAAAGTGGGACAGGAGGGTGCAATCTCAAGGTCTCCTTTATTACTGCTTGTAAATAAGGAAGCCTGGCAATATCTGATTCCTCAACAGGTTTACCTTTCCCAATGGTTTGCTCCAACTCTTGTTTTGCTTTTTCCATAGCCTGTGCATTTTGGAGTAACTCTGCCATTGCCCATTCTAGCGTATGTGTAACTGGATCCGTTCCCGCAACAAATAGAGTCTAGTAAACCACAATTATTAAAAGTGTTTTTTAGTCAGTGATTCAAATAGCAAAATTAGCTCTACTTTTTTTAAAAATCATTTTTAAAAAGTAATGCATAATATAATTTTTTTTTTCCCGAATTTCCTTCTAAACGTCCTTAGTTGGTGGAATATTATTCCCTCTTGTTATAATTAACTTAGGTGGTGTTTGGTTGCATTCTTTTTCAAACTTTCCTATGCATCTGAAGGAAGTAATCCGGAAAGCACTTGTTTGGTTCCATAGATTTAGTCTAAATTCCCACCAATCCTAATTGCATTGCATTTTGAATATGCAAGTGGAATGATGGTGTTTGGCACTGTTCAGGAAGAATTCTTGGAGGTGGTTTTTTGTGAAAACTGGCAAAGGCACTGTGTAGACAATATCTCAAACGACCATTATACCCTCCAAAGACACAGATTTTTTCTTGTTTTGAAGGTAAAGGGTAGGATGTTTGTTTCAAAAAAAATTTAAAACAGGGGTATTTTCGTAATAGCATCATTTTTTCCCATCTATATTTTACCTACAGCCAAACATAGACTTCATAAATGTTACCTAATTTTTCCGGTAATATTTTTTTCAACCAAACAACTTTTTTTACATTTTCTTACCAAACTTACTTTCCAACCATTTTCCCACTATTCTTATTTCCCTATTATTCATAAAAATTTTTTCTCAACCAAACGCCCCTTTAAGGGTGGATTGTTGGATAAGCGCTTATCACTAAGCGTTTATCACTAGATCAAAAATTATAGCTGTTAGTAAGGGTGTAATTTTTTTTATTTACCTCTACTAATCCAGGCTATGGTTCGATTTGGCTCTTACCCCAAACTAAGTCTTGATAAGGCAAGATGATGGCCTCTATAACATGAATACAGTTTCATTTTATAGTCTGTTTGGATTATCTCTTTTTTAAGTTAGAAATTACTCATTATAAATTAAAGTTAAAAAAAAACTTAAAAAAAAAGTTAAAAACTGTTTGGTGATTGCATAAAAAATTTAGCTTAAAAGCACATATTTCAAGAAAACATACTCTCTTTATCTCTATAGCTCTTTAGTGATTTGGTTCAACAAATTGAACCAGTTTTAATTTTTTATGAATAAATTTTGATTTCAGTTAGTTCTGAAAAAAAAAGAAATATTTTTTTTCAAAGACACAAAATGAAATATTAATAGTAAAAGAAAAAGAACTGGGTCAATTATTTTGGTTCTCGGCCTAAAGCATGTTTTTTTTGTACTATCAGAATATGTACTTCATTACTAGAAATAGGAAAATATGGGATTTAGATGAAAATAATTATAAAAAGATGGGTAAAATGAAAAAATTCAATTATATTACTTATTCTCAAATTTAGTAAAGGATGCACGAGTCTTCGGTACCGAGGGAGTATTAATTGAAGATCTTTTATGGTCGGAACAAAATAATTCGGTTTTTTAATCCCTTGTACAAAAAGTGATTTAATTTCTAAACTGATTTGAAAAAATATAATTAGGTTCATAGTCCCATTCGATTCTTTTGAAATTTTTTTACACCCTTTAATATATATATAACGGAACTGGAGAAAATAGAAAAGGGAGAGGAGAATATATACCAGGGATAAGTGTTCAATTTTGGTTTTGTCCATCTCTTGGCTGTTCTCTTGAGCAATGTTGAGTAAGGTATTTAGCATGTCATTGTGTGTGTCAGCAGCACTTTGAACTTCCCTTAGCTTCAACCTTTGATCAACCAAACGGCGGAAGATGTCTATGACCTTTCCAGCGTAAAAACCGTTGCGACTATTAATGCGCTGTGGATCAACCTTTTTCAGCGCAGGGTAAAAGTCAGCCAAGTTAGGTTTTCCACACTCTTTCATGATATGTGTCACTGTCTCCTTGAAATCTCCAGCTGAACCTGCAGACTCAAACAAATCTACAGAGAAAATAGTGTTTGATAATAAATTGATTACAGTATTGAAAGCTGCTGCTCCAATATCTACTGCTTCACTAATTAAGCTGCTTTGATTGATATCATGAAGGAGTTCTTGCAGTTTCATACGCCTAAGGTCTTGACTAGCATCCAAAGTCTTATTGGAGAATAACTGAGTATTGCATATTTTCCTTAGGTCTCGCCACTGAGGTGAAACAGGCAAGAAGGTCATGCTATACTTTTCGTGGTTGAAAACTTCCACAGCATGTGGAACGTCTCGGTTTGACAAGAACTGATCATGGGTTTGAAGAACCTCTTTGGCCATTTCTGCTGAAGAGACAACTATGGTTGTTACTTGTCCTAACTTCAGACACATTATTGGGCCGTAGATTTGAGCAAGTTTTGCCAGTGATTGGTGGGGCTTTTTGCCCAATGCAAGGAGGTTTCCCACTATAGGAAGAGGTGAAGGTCCTGGTGGGAGCTTGTACTTTGCATTTTTGCCTCTTGAAAGCAGAGAACGCAAAGCTTGTGCAAGAGTGAATGTCAACACAAGTAGGAGTACACAACTCAGGAACTCCATCTCTTGGGACAACAAGGAAATCAATGAGAGTAATGATACAATACAAGTGGCCAAGTCTGCAGATGAAAGTATTTATAGGAAAAACTAAAAAGAGTGGAGGAGACTGGGCCACGTATCATAATCTAATTCAATTATTTTTTCAAATGAGAGACGTAACGTATTTTGACTCTTACTATATTTTCCCATAGTCAACTAATGTTGTCATGAATGTTGCCACTTGTGGTATTACTGGAATATCTATTCCTTTATTAAATAAAAAAAAAAATGGGACTTAAAGTGAGAACAATCATAAAAAGATAGATAAAATAATAAAAGTCAAATTTTCTTCTTCTTAATTTAATAAAAAATGTACTGAGTTTAAGTACTATAAAAGTGTGGAAGATATTTTGCACTTGTATAAGTTGCACAAGAATAATTCACTCGAATACGTATGCAAAAGTTTGAGTTTAATTAAAATCGATGGGTGCAATGCAGACACGTATATTTATAGTAATCAACTAGTGAGTGAACGAGTGCAAAGCAACAGTAACCCCATAAAAGGAAAGAGTTGGCGCGTGGGATAGGTAATCCCCACTGAGTAATTGACCATAGCCACCATGGTTTCACTTTCAGAAATAGCAATCTCATCTACGCAACACTCTGACTCTCTCTCAGACGTTTGCACAAAAATATTATCAAACTGTCACGCCAACAGTAAATTTTGTCAAAATATCACGTGACATAATTCGTTACACAGTATAGCGAATTATGCATACAAGTAATTCGCTACACAGTATAACAAAATATGCCACGTCAGAACCAAAAATGTCACATGTCAAATTTTGATAAATTCGCTACCCTATGTAGCGAATTTATCAAAATTTGACATGTGGCATTTTTGGTTCTGTACATTCTGACGAGGCATATTTCGCTACACTATGTAGCAAATTACTTGCATGCATAATTCGCTACACTGTGTAGCGAATTATGCCGCGTGACATTTTGGCAAAATTTATTGTTGACGTGTGACAGTCTGATAATTTTTTTATCCAAGCGTAGCACTTTGGTCATTGTCCCGTCACTCTCATCCCTTCACCCGTTTTTTTCTTCCTATTTCGGTCTTCAAATAAATGCCTCACTGCAACAAGAATCTTTCCCATTCATGACATATGCACTTTTTAAAACGTTGGTCTGAACAGAGAAAAAAAAGGAGAATGAAAAAGAAGTAGGGAGATGAGTTCTTGATAAATTTATTCAAAGAAAATGGTTTCAATGTTCACAAACTTGATGTTTGCTGCTGCAAACAAGTTGAGAACCGCTCAAGGAAGTTGATAATGAATCGGCGTTGGGTCCATTCTGTATTTCGCGTTTTAGATGGTTCCAACTCTTCTACCAGTAAAGAAGCAAAGGCGAATAAGTTATTAGTGCTAAAAATATAATAAATGTTGTTATAAATTGGTCAAAAAATATTGTACCGTTTAGTTCTGTGAGCCCACCATATACCCTTTGAGGGTAATGTTGTTATATGGATGGTACATCTAGCTAAGGTAATGACCAGGCTAGAAGGTATTATTCCAAGATGAAGCAAGCAGATATCAATGGTAGACAAATAGTATGGGTATGACTTAAGAATAAATGGGCGTAAATACACTACATAAAAGATCCCCTTCCTGTTGTGCCCATGAGGGCTATTTATAAGTAAAATGGTGTGGGTTGGTGAGGTGGGGATCAGCCCTTCTTGGGATGTGTCCCCCTGATGGCAGTGTTAGGCGCGGTTGGCGCTGCCACGATGGCAGCGCTGCACCTACTGCATCAGGCGATGTCAGCACTGAGCAAAGGGGCAGATTCCTTTGCAGTGCTTATGGCGACTGGGTTTAGCGGTTAATGTCCCAAAGTGAGACGTTTTGGTGTATATTTTGGACGTGCTGTAGTCTTGGAGAGCGTGAGGGTCCACGTCAGCCCTAAGGGCTGACTCAGAAGAAAGCTGAGGATTGGGCCTGAGTAATTGGGCCGCTCCAGTGCTTGGGCCATCCGGAACAGGAGCCCCCTAGCTTGACAGCAACCGTAGGATAGTGCCAAGTTAAATGCTTTGGGGCGTTACCTTTAGTGCGATCACCTCGATTGATATCGGAAGAGTGACAGTTTGTCTCTAGCTCCTCCCAGGGTATTTTGGGTTTTTGTTCTTCTGGAATTTCTGGCGTTTTACTTGGGCGTCCTTCGAGAAGGAAACTACTACAAAGCCCCTCATCGTCGTGGCGCCAGGAGCCCCCAGCCTGGTGACGAGCATAGGCTGGTGCCGAGGCAGGTAGGATTTGGCGACGTCTTGTTTGGCGATGTGAAATATTTGAGCATGGGCGATTCCTTTTGGTGATTGTTGTAACAAGGTCATTGATGACGATGATTGGTGGGTGACACCTAGTGAAAAGGCTGTCGCTTCTGGCACTTTAGGAGGCTTTCCAATTTTCGAGGAGTCGTAATGATGAGTTTTCTCATCATTACTATTTATTGCAGGCATCCAAGCGTCACAGGGTTCGGCGCATTAATGCGACGCGACTGGTGACATGTCCTTTGAAGTGACCATTTTGCCCCCTTTTCTCAACCGCCCGTTGCACGATGGCTGTGTCATCGTACGGTCAAGTGAGGAGGACTTACGTGTCTGTGCGAGACCTTCTCTTGTCCTTTTGAAATTACCACTTTCCCCCCTTTTCTCAACCGCCCGTTGCACGATGGCTGTGTCATCGTACGGTTAAGTGAGGAGGACTTACACGTGTCTGTGCGAGACCTTCCTCTTCCTCTTTCTGTATAAAAGGGGGAGACCCTTTGTTGGGGTTCTTCCTTACACGAAACCTACCTTGTTGCGCTTTTGCTCAAAGCCTTTGTTTCCTATCCTCAGTTCAGTGTGATAGTGCCGGTCTTCTTTCTCTCCTTTTCTGCAATTCTCAGGTATAGTCCTTCTTCTTTTGTCGTTTCTATTCTTGTTTCTGGTTGTCTTGTACTCCATTTTTCTGCTGTATTGATGGTTGGGTTTACAGAACCTATCCCTGGTCTCATACTTCCTGAACCGGAAGTAGAAATTAAGGAAGAGGAGTTTGATGAAGCCTTTGAGGCACTAGGGGATAGTGCAGTGGGGCCAACGATGCGAGAGTATCTGGCTAGTCGCGCCCCAAGTCATCCTTTAATTCCTGGGGTTGAGAAGTTGCCCCATGGGAAAGTACCCGAACTTTTGGGCTTTAGTGAAGTGGAGATTCAAAAGCTCCTTCCCGAAAGAGCCTTAGGTCCTGTGCTCCCGTATGCTGGTGAGGCGTCATGTTCTAATCCCGGTAGTGGGCGCCGCGGGTTAGTTGGTGAGGAGAGTTCCAGATATGGCGGGCGTCCGCCTGCCGGCTCTAAGAGGCGAAAGGTTGCTTCACGTCGTCGTGTTTCGCGGCGTTCTGATCTCGGAACTGGGCGATTAATTTGACCCGTATCCAACATCAACTGGCAGCGACAAAACCGTCCTTTAGAGTATTATTTCCACCCTCGCCCTTCTTCTGTTGCCCTTCGGACGTCTCATGGTCAAATTCCTCCCATCCCCAAATCTTTCCATCGTCATATGTATGATGAGTCCACAGAGAACCGTTTAGGTAGATATCACCCGGAGGATGGTCGCCTTATAAGGAATGGCGTGTGGGATGCCATTTTTGAAGACATAGGGCTTTATAAGATACCGCCTGCTTGGTGACCTTCTAACCTGAGCTATTCAGATTTTTATTCAAGTTCATCAGACACCTCGGATTCTGATGGTGAGTTAACTGTGTTATATTTTTCTTTTTTTCTTTCGTTGTGCTTGACGTGGGGGGTGTTGGAGGTGACAGGAGTGTTAATAGGGTGAGTTGGACTATCCCGTTTCCTTTTGCAATGGTCTTATTGGCGTCAGTGAAGTTTAGAGGACTGACTGTGTGTTTGTCGCTCCTAGGTAGGACTTTAAAAGACTTTCCAAACTTATGGCGACTGTTCCGTCGGACGATGGTCTTGGGGAGCGGGAATGGGTTGATCCCGTGGTGGCCACAACCTCTTCAAGCTATTCTGACAAGGGTATCTTACGCAACCACTATAAAGGTGAACCCAGCTTTAGCATAACTGAAAATGGTGCACACGAGACGAAGTGGCAACCGGTCGCGGTCGGTGCTGATCGTCGGGCATGTGACGCGCCTCTTATGGCGTTCCGATCACGGTGGCGATTTATGGTGTACAAAATTCACTTTACTGATCAGAAAGTGAGGTTTCCGCTGTCCGAGTTTGAGATGGAGGTGTTATCTCACTTACAGGTCGCGCCTTCGCAACTGAATCCCAATGCTTGGGCGTTTGTCAAAGTTTTCGAGAGTATATGCAAGTATTTCGGTATGGACTACTTTGTACGATCATTCTTATGAAAATGATCAGACAATTAACAATGCTCCAGGCGATGGAGGGGATGACTACCCTCGTGGGCCATCTGAGGCTGTAGGTTCACCTCCTCTTTCTGAAATTCCTGTGAGCAGGGCGCTCCGCTTGTCGGAGAGGGAGCTCATCGACGGATTCCCCAATACCAGGCGTCCTAAGAAGGTTATGACTGCGCATTTCGACCGTCAGCAGTTCATGGACTGCACCCAAGTGATTATTGGCCGTATCCTGGGCCAACAGGAGATTACCCTGGATTTTGAGGAATGGTGTTCCCAACAGGAGGATCGTCTTGTTGATTTGGAGCGGCAGGTTAATAGCTTGACCGCTGACGTGGGGCGCCTTGGCAAAGAAGTTGCCGATGGGAAAGCTTCTTCGAAGTCTCTGTTCGCGAAGTTAAAAACGGCAGAGGATGCGGTGAAACTATTAACCGCCGATAAAAGCAACCTGAGTCAATCAGTGGAAAATTTGAAGAAGGAAAAAGAGATTCTTCAAGAGGAGAGAGATCAATTATCTTCAGATTTATTTGCTGCGCACGGGAACCTTCACGCAAGGGATGACGATTATAAGAAGGCTTCTGGGCAAGTGGAGAAGTTGGAAGAGGCTCTAGCCGGTCTGATGTATGATTCTTTCAACAACGCCCTTAAACAGGTTGTCGTCAGGTATCCTGGTGCTGACTTGACTGGCCTGGATCCGTCTTATGATGTTGAGGATGGCCAGATTGTGAATCGCCTTGAAGGTGATGTTGTGAAGGTGATTGAAACGGCGCCAGAGACTGATGACGATGAAGGAGCTCGCGGCGTGCTTCCTATGAGTAACACGGATAGTGATCATACACGAGATGATGGTGGGCGTGTTACATCAACCGATCCTGTTGTGGGTGGCGGTGGTACTGAAGTCATGATTGCTGGGAAGAATGATTAGGCGCTAGAGGCGGTTGCTTCCGCAGTTGAAAAGGACTCGGCCGTTCAGGCTCAGGATGTTTGAGATGTGCTGGCGACATTCCTTTAGGACTTAGGCTTTTGTTTCGACGCGGTTGGTATGTCAACTGTGGCCTCTATGTTTAAAAACTTATCAATATCAACGAAGGGATTCTCTTTACATTTGTAGTTTTTCCCGCTTTATTTAAAGGACCACATTATTTTTCTCGTTTTTCCTGAGAACTAAGCCTGATTTAAGGGCGTTGGCTGGGGGTGAGGACCATCCCAGTCCAACTGCGGCGAGGGTGAGAACCATCTCGCTTGTTGGACGTTGGCTGAGGGTGAGGACCATCCCAGTCCAACTGTGGCGAGGGTGAGAACCATCTCGCTTGTTTAGCGTTGGCTGGGGGTGAGGACCATCCCAGTCCAACTGCGGCGAGGGTGAGAACCGTCTCACTTGTTGGGCGTTGGCTGGGTTTGAGGACCATCCCAGTCCAACTGCGGCGAGGGTGAGAACCGTCTCGCTTGTTTGGCGTTGGCTGGGTTTGAGGACCATCCCAGTCCAACTGCGGCGAGGGTGAGAACCGTCTCGCTTGTTGGGCGTTGGCTGGGGGTTAGGACCATCCCAGTCCAACTGCGGCGAGGGTGAGAACCGTCTCGCTTGTTGGGCGTTGGCTGGGGGTGAGGACCATCCCAGTCCAACTGAGGCGAGGGTGAGAACTGTCTCGCTTGTTGGGCGTTGGCTGGGGTGAGGACCATCTCAGTCCAACTGAAGCGAGGGTAAGAACTGTCTCGCTTGTTGGGCGTTGGATGGGGGTGAGGACCATCTCAGTCCAACTGAGGCGAGGGTGAGAACCGTCTCGCTTGTTGAGCGTTGGCTGGGGGTGAGGACCATCCCAGTCCAACTGAGGCAAGGGTGAGAACCGTCTCGCTTGTTGGGCGTTGGCTGGGGGTGAGGACCATCCAAGTCCAATTGCAGCGAGGGTGAGAACCGTCTCGCTTGTTGATTAATTTAACAGTATAGGCGATCAATGTTTGCTTTTTATTGAACACACGGGACTCTGCCTCGTTAAAAACCTTCCCTAGTAAAACCCATTGGGATAAAAACGTAGGGAAGGAAAAGAGTGCAGGTGAAATTACATGGTATTTCAACTATAGTACTGTTTGAGCTTGTCTGCGTTCCACGCCCTTCGGATCGCCTTTCCGTCTAACGTCTCAAGTGAGTAGGCTCATTTTCCAGTTTGTTTGCTACACGGTAGGGACCTTCCCAATTAGGGGCGAGCTTTCCTTCTCGGGCGTTCTTGTTTCCAACGTCTGCTCTTCTGAGAACCAAATATTTTTCTTCAAAAATTTGTGGAATCACTTTCTTGTTGTAATAAGTGGCAGATCTTTCTTTTGTCTGGCGATCGTTGTGGGTGGCGTATCTTCTTACTTCGTCCAGCAGATCCAACGCTTCTTTCAAGTGCTGGTTGTTGGTGACCTCTGTCACGTGCTCTCGTCGCCAGGAAGGCTCGCCTATTTCCACTGGTATCATGGCTTTGGCACCGTATGTCAGCCTGAAAGGCGTTTCTCTGGTGGAGGACTGGGCGGTAGTTCTGTACCCCCATAGGACGTTGTCTAGATTTTCTAACCATGCTCCTTTGTGCGTTTCTAGCCTCTTCTTGATTCCTTTCCCCAACATTTTGTTGGTGGATTCTACTAAGCCATTGGACTGAGGGTGTTCTACAGCGGTAAAGTGATGTCTGATCTGTAGACTGTTCATCAGTGCTCGGAACTTGGCATCAGTAAATTGAGTGCCGTTGTCAGTAATGACCTCCCTAGGGATACCAAATCGGTAGATGATGCTTCTCCAAAAGAACCTTCTTGCTTTTTGGGACGTGATAGTAGCTAAGGGTTCCGCCTCTACCCATTTGGTGAAGTAGTCAATGGCGACGATTAGCCACTGGACTCGTCCAGCCGCCTTGGGAAAAGGCCCAAGAATGTCAATTCCCCACTTGTAGAAAGGCCATGGAGATGTGATTGACGCCAATTCTTCGGGTGGTGCCCTGTGTACGTTAGCGAACCTCTGGCACTTTTCGCATTTCTTTACATGCTCGTGAGCGTCACGTTCCATGGTTGGCCAGTAAAACCCTGCTCTCAACGCCTTCTTTACCAGCGAGTGACCACCTATGTGATGGCCATTGATACCTTCATGAATTTCTTCAATTACGTACGAAACATCATTAGGGTTCAGACATTTCAGGAGTGGGGTTGAGGTCCCTCGTTTGTATAAACATCCTTTTACTAGGCAGAAATGTGCGCTCCGCCGTATTAGCTTTTGACCTTCATTCTTATCCGAGGGTAACACCCCTTCGGCTAAGTAGTTGATGATAGGCGTTGTCCAGGTTTCCTCAGTGGCGTCCTCTGGGGGGTTAGAAATGCTTATTACGATGCACGGGTTTGGCATGTTGTGCTGGATTACCGATCTGTTGTTCCTTGGGCTTTTGGTGCTTGCCAGCTTGGCGAGGATATCTGGCCGTGTATTTTCAGCTCGCCTTATATGCTCTACTTCAACTGCTTCAAAACTTCCAATCAGCTCCTTTACCTTCTCCAAGTACCTGCTCATTAATGGTCCTTTGGTTTGGTATTCGCCTGAGATCTGGAAAGCTACCAGTTGGGAGTCAGTGAAGACTTTGAGGCGTCGGGCGCCCATTTCTTTTGCTTGGAGCAGTCCTGCCATCATGGCCTCATATTCCGCCTGATTATTTGTGGCGTTGAAATCAAAAGTCAGAGAATGTTCGAGTGCTACTCCATCTGGGTTTTCAACAATCATTCCTGCGCTCGATCCTTTGGCGTTCGAAGAGCCATCAACGTACAACTTCCAGTTACCAGCTGAAGGCGTTTTAGTTGCATGCTTCTCAGGATGGGGGTTTGGAGTCATCTCGGCGATGAAATTTGTCAAGGCCTTAATAGCCGTTCTTGGTTCGTAGGCGATCTGGTATTCTGATAGTTCTATCGCCCAAGACATCATTCTTCCAGCAAGGTCTGGCTTATGTAACACTTGCTGAATTGGTTGGTTTGTTCTGACAGTGATTGGATGGCACTGGAAGTACGGCCTTAAACGCCTTGCAGCAAAGATGAGTGTTAATGCTACCTTCTCAACTTGCTGGTACCGGAGTTCCGCTCCTTGTAAGACTTTGCTGATAAAATAGACAGGCTTTTGTCCTTCCTTTGACTCCTTGACTAGGGCCGCGCTGATTGCCTCCGATCCGACGGCGAGGTATAAGTACAACATTTCTCCGTGCTCGGGTTTGGAAAGTACTGGTGGGCATGAGAAAGCCCTTTTGAACTCCTGAAAGGCGCTCTCGCATTCTTCTGACCATCGAAAGGCAGTCCCCTTTTTTAACAACCCGAATAGGGGGAGGGACTTGTGTGCTGAGTTTTCCAAAAATCGGGCGAGGGCTACCAACCTTCCAGTTAGCTGTTGAACTTCCTTGATTGTTTGCGGGCTCCGCATTTCAATGACCGCCTTACACTTGTCTGGGTTGACCTCTATGCCTCGCTCCATGAGCATGAAGCCAAGGAATTTTCCCGCGGGAACACCAAAAGCACACTTGCTGGGGTTGAGGCGCATGTTAAATTTTCGCAGTCTTTGGAAAACGCCTTGGAGATCTGCTAAATGTTGGTCTGTCGTCTTTGATTTTGCTATCATGTCATCAATGTAAACTTCTATACAATTGCCGATCAAGTCTTTGAATACCCCGTTCATCATCCTCTGATACGTGGCGCCCGCATTTTTCAACCCGAAGGGCATCATCGTATAACAATAATTGGCGTTCTGAGTAATGAACGCCGTTTTGTCTTGATCTTCCTCTAACAACTGAATCTGATTATAGCCTGAATATGCGTCCATAAAAGACAACATCTGGAAACCAGAGGCGTTGTCAACCAGCTGGTCGATGCTTGGGAAAGGATAGGCGTCCTTGGGGCAGACCTTGTTAAGATCTGTGTAGTCAACGCACATTCTCCACGCGCCGTTTGATTTCTTTACCAACACTGGATTGGACAACCAAGTTGTGTACTTGATTTCCCTGATAAACCCGGCGTCGTGGAGTCTTTTGATTTCTTCATCGATGACCTTCTGGCGATCAAAGCCAAACTTCCTCTTCTTTTGCGCAACTGGTTTTGCTTTAGGGTCCACCGACAAACGGTGGCAGCATACGTTTAGGTCGATACCTGGCATATCAGACGGTTTCCAAGTGAACAAATCTTTATTTGCTTTTAACAACTATATCAGCTTTCTTTTTACTTCGGGTTCGATTGTTTCCCCGATTGTTGTCATCTGGTGATCCGCCTCGCCCAACACCACGTGTTCTAATGCTCCGTCAGGCGTAGGTCTGGCGTGCTCGACTCTGGGATCGTCCCTGGCGTCAAAATCTACCAAGAAGCACTGGTTGTGCTCGTTCCTCCTCCTGTCGGGATTTCCTTCAGCTGGGGATGTCTCCTTCTGCTGGGGTGTCGCTTCTTTTTTTAAGGTAACCTCTGTCATTGGCCGCAGAGAGATGTTGTAGCAACTTCGGGCAACAATTTGATCTCCTCGTATAGTAGCTATGTTATTATCTCTGGCTATGAACTTCATTGCCAGGTGGGGGTGGGAGATGCTCGCCTCAAAGGCTGCAAACATCTTCCTGCCTAGGATGGCGTTGTAAGCGGATGGTGTATCCAGCACTAGGAATTGGATGTCTGCGGATCGTGATGTTGGCGTCGTTCCAAGCGAGAGACGCAGGTTTATCACCCCCAAAGGCTTGGTGGTGGTAGCATTGAAACCTGAAAGTTCACCTGCGACAGGAGTTAGATCGTTAATTGTGAACCCTAATGCTTTGAGACATGGCAAGAATAAAATATCGGCTGAGCTGTCGTGGTCAACAAATACACGGTTGACACCGTAATTGGCGATTATAGCTTGGATGACAAGTGGGTCGTCGTGCCCGGGGAGAACGTCCCCCAACTCGCTGCTGTCCCAAACTATGTTTGGCCTGGCTGGGCCATGGTGCCCTTTATCTTTGCTGATCACCTTTCCTGCAATCGCCAGGCATTGTTTTAGATGCTTCTTCCTGGCGTTGGACGTTTCGCCCCCGCGCTTAAACCTCCAGAGATCATATTAATTACTCCGTGCTTGATGGTGGCGGAGTCTTCTTCTTCAACTCGCCTCCCTCCTCGGCTCGGGCTTGTCTGTGTTCTGGTTCTTTGAGGTGAGTCTTCTCTTTGGCCTCGTTCTTGGTGGGACCGAGCGTTGGCCTGATTGGTTTTCCTCATTTCCGGCGACTTGCTTCGGTCGCGGTATCGCTTGCCTGATCTGGAGGGGCGAGCATTATCTCCTCCGTTTTTTTGTGTACCGCCTTTGATGAGTTCGTCGATCTCGTCCTTGAGGCGCCTGCAATCCTCTGTGCTGTGGCCGCTACTGCGATGAAACTTGCAGTATGGCGCGACCGCTTTGCTTGGTTGCTGGGGCCTTTGGTTGCTTTTGGGATCCTCTTTGTAATCTGTTTGTAAGATAGCGTGCGACTGTCGTTCGGATGTGTCCCGCCCAGAATGGCAGGTGGAACGGCTGGATGCTTGGTTTCCTTTCCTATTTTTCTCAACATGATTCCTTCCCTTACTGATCACCTTTTCTTGACAGTTGGAGTCATTAGCTCGACTCCCTTTGTATTCTTCAATTCTCATAAATTCATGCGCCTTGTTCTTGACTTCCTCTAAGTCAGTAATTTCATGTCGTGCGAGCTCGTAAGCGAACTATCCTTGTCGCAAGCCTGACAAGAGTATATGTACCTGTACTTTGGGGTCTAGGCCTTGCACTTGCAAGGCCTCTTTATCAAAACGATCTAGGAAGGACCGGAGGGTCTCGCCAGAAAGCTGTCGGACTTTTTCAAGGGCGTGCACGGATTTGGGTACGGGGCGACTGGTTGCAAAATGGGATTGAAACTTGCTTGCTAAATCGTCCCATGACGCAATGCTGCCTGTTGGCAGGCTGGTGTACCAGGTAAGGGCTCTCCCTCCCAACAATGTTGGGAAAGTTCGGCACATGAGTAAATCTGTTTCGGCATGGAGTGTCATTGCTGCTTTGAATTTCTGGATCCACTAAAATGGATCGGTATCGCCAACGTATGTGGTGATGTTGGAGGGACCCTTGAAACCCAGGGGTATGGGAGTTAGCCTCAGGCTATCGGTCAAAGGCTTGTTATGCACTGACGTGTGGGCAAGCGTTACTCTGATATGTTCTCGTTGTGGACGAGGCATTTGTAGGGCTTCAACGGAGTAGGAGAGGGTCGGGGTTTGGTGGAATGCTTGTTGAGCATCATATGGTTGTTGGTTAGGATTCAGGCAAGATACTTGAGGTTGTGGAACGGCTGCGTTATGGGGTTGCATGGCGTAGCCATGGAAAGGGAAACCAGCTTGGTGAGGTAGTTGAAAAGGAAAAGCTACGTTAGGCGTGTATGGCCTAGGAAGGTATGGGGCGACCATGGGTATCTGGTGGTCATGGTATACTGACAGTGGTTGACTTTGGGCTGGTAATGGAGGACGGGTGAGATAGGCAGGTCGTGAGACAACTGCTGGAAATGGCATTCCAAAATGGACTCCGGGGGGAGGTGGCTGGTTTAGGACTACATTTTCTCCCTGCATCTCACACACGGGTGCTTGATAATGTTGCAGGGCGATCCTAGCATCGTTCGTTGGCAGCAGTGGCCCTATGGTCTGTAGTGCAGGAGGTTGGACTTCTCTAGCGGCCCGCTCGGCTGGGGCCGAGTGCATAGATGGAGGGGAGCTTGGTTGTACTGTCTGTACGTGTCCTTCTGGCGTCATGGCCTTGGCGTGCTCCGCTCTCCTGGTGGTGACAACCATGTAGAGTTGTAAAAAGCGTCTGGCGGTTGTTTGTTAGTAAGAGGAAATGACCCGTCAAATGGATCTTTGGGTAAGAGAATGAGAATAGAAGTTTATCGTTTCCCACAGACGGCGCCAATGTACCGTTTAGTTCTGTGAGCTCACTATGTACCCTTTGAGGGTAATGTTGTTATATGGATGGTACCTCTAGCTAAGGTAATGACCAGGCTAGAAGGTTTTATTCCAAATGAAGCAAGCAGATATCAATGGTAGACAAATAGTATGGGTATGACTTAAGAATAAATGGGCGTAAATACAGTACATAAAAGATCCCCTTCTTGTTGTGCCCATGAGGGCTATTTATAAGGAAAATGGTGTGGGTTGGTGAGGTGGGGGTCAGCCCTTCTTGGGATGTGTCCCCCTGATGGCAGTGTTAGGCGCGGTTGGCGCTGCCACGATGGCAGCGCTGCACCTACTGCATCAGGCGATGTCAGCACTGAGCAAAGGGGCAGATTCCTTTGCAGTGCTTATGGCGATTGGGTTTAGCGGTTAATGTCCCAAAGTGGGACGTTTTGGTGTATATTTTGGACGTGCTGCAGTCTTGGAGAGCGTGAGGGTCCACGTCAGCCCTAAGGGCTGACTCAGAAGAAAGCTGAGGATTGGGCCTGAGTAACTGGGCCGCTCCAGTGCTTGGGCCATTCGGAACACATATAGTATATTAACAAATGCAAAAGACTTTAAAGTTTTAATGATTGAAAATAATATTGAGTTAAAAACGTATAGGTTTCAGGTTTATATTATTAAATTTGAGCATTGGAGCAACAGGTAAGCTGCAAGAACTTAAAGCAATAAAGGAAGAGCAGTCATTTTGTGAAAATCTCTCTAAAGCTATCTTCCAACCAATATTTATCAACCAAGATGATGGATTTAGATCTCGTGTTCTACATAAAAGTTGTATATCTCTCTTTTATCTTTTTAATGAGGCCAAGATCATATCAATTGGATAAGTATAGCTCAAGTTGTGTCCAAAATACAAAGCTATATTTTTGTTGTCAAAATGTCTCACCAGTTGCTCGAAAGTTCAAGTAAACCAGCAAGTTGGTCAATTTACCTCGCCAGTTTGCTCGATCGAGCGAGAAAACGAGTGAGCACCCTAAAAAAAAAAAGCCCATATATATTTCTCATTAAACGAGACAACCTAGGGTTTTTTCAATCATTATCTTTGGTCAGAGACTTCTTGGGAGAGCAAGAGGAAGAGCTTTTGAGAGGAGAAGGAGGAAGAACAACTCAAGGCTTCACCGTGGATCTTTGTTAATCAAGTTTTATCATGAACTTTTTTTACTTTTCATCTATTGTTTTTGTTTCCATGAACATGCTAGGCTAATTTCTTTTATGTAGTTAGGGTGAGATGAAACCAATGAGTTCTTGAACACTGCTTATGCTTTTTTGTAATTAATATTTATGATTTGAGTTATGCAATTGATCTATTCACTGATGATTTGTTTTGTTTATGACTTGCGCACTCATAGATAAACACATAGAGTTTTGTATGTCAATATGGATATTAGTATCTTGATTTCGATTGACCAATTGCTAGGATTTGTATGATCTATCCATAGATTTATAAATTCTACGACGTGAGAGATTCTTGATCTTATTGCTTGCTCTAGAAAAAGGCTCTAAGGGATTAGGGTTTTGGATAAAGTAAAGGATTAAATCGCCAAGGGATTGAGGGGTTTAATCACCTTAGAAAGAATTGTCAATAACTTAATCTTGAATATTGGTTGCATGAAAGGATAGACTTGCGAAGAAAACATTAGAAAAATCGAATCTCTAGCTATACGCTTTTGCATATTAGATTTCAACTCGTTATTCCGTTCTTGTTTGCGTTCTTGTTCTTAGTTTTTAATCTTGTAAAATCAAAAATATTATTTTTAATATCCGTTTATATTAATTCAAAATTATATTCTCCAAAACTTACAAGATCGGTCCAATTTTGGTATATAAATAAGTTATTGTTTAGTAAATTAATCTTTGTGAAAACGATATTTTACTTTTCACTTTATTACTTATATGATCGGTGTACTTGCCGCAGTCGCAACACCAATCATCTTGATAGTGATAATGTTGCTAAGGAAATCGAGAAAAATAATCTGAATGATGGTTTAAATGACTGCAATTGATTTGTCTGAGGGTATGGCAGCTAACATGTTTGGTAATGAAAAATACTCGAGTACCTCACTCAGTACTTGAGTACATAATGCTTAAAAAAATTTGGATGACGAACAATACTTGAGTACTCAACTAGTGTATCCGAGTATATATTGTTTGCGAAAAATACTCGAGTAACAATGTCCTATACTC